TAAATGCTAAAATTATGTAATTAAACTTTAAACCTCAAGATTTTACAACTTTATTTTTTTTAAAAAGGACATTTAATGATAAAGAATAGCAAAATGCTTTTTCAAACCGAATATTATAGCATCTGAAAAAAGCTTTTTAAAGACGAACGATTAGAAATTGGTACCCGTGATCTGCGTTACAAGTGTGTTAGTACCACTAAACGGATATTCAAAACAACTTCTAACACTATCGCTATTCCCTTCCTTTTGTGTTCAAAATATATATTTGATAATTGAATGGACACTACGGTGATATCCATCACAGTAAAAGCGCCAAACTAACTTTTTACGACCTTTATCAATCCCAAACTAAAGCCCTGTACCTCACAAACAAAATAATTGAGAGAGAACACTTGGCATCGTATAAATAGTTAATATTATTGGAAATATCACCACCTGTAAAATTTTGTTTTGGACAAGATTCACTATCTTTTGCAACCATAACCCTGACCAGTGCCTTAAAAGTAAATAGAAGATGACGCTTCTTGAAATTCATTAATCAAGACAATATACATATTGTTTCCATGTTTCAAGAACAGATCAATTCTCAATATGTCATTAATAGGCGTACTATGATCATATACTGAATTCGAAACAGGTCAAAGTAGAATACGCCCCAAATAATAATGTATCTAAACCGTAAATGTACACGATGTATATATGTGTTGTTTAGCAATGGTTGAACGTAAAAGAGTATGTAAAGTATGATGAATTGGCGAATGACAGTAAGAAAGGGAATCTTTTAAAAGAAGGTTTTGATAAACTTTTATCCATGAATCTTAATGAGTTTGAGAGAGAAGAGAAAAGTTGAATATGGTTAAGGGATGTGTAATGTAATTCAACAGGAATTTAATTTGCTAGATAATTGAGGATTAAGATTTTATTGTGAATTTAATCGCATTAAGCAAAAAACAATTCATTAACTGGTAATATATTTATAATGCGATATTTATAAGAAAGTAAATATAACCAATAACTTTAAATGTGTGACTAAAAATTTTTTTTTTAATTGCAAGCGCGTTTTCGATTTGCTTACGAAATATTCAGGGATAATGAAGCTGATACCATGTGATGCGAACTCAATAATCTTCATTTTCACAGAAAAACACCAATCGTGTAAAGTTTGCAAAGTTAGTACATCAATAAATGCGTATTATTATGTATTTATTTATTGGTTAATGCAGGGAACTTAATGATATGAGATCATTCAATGCTTTTAACGACAAAGAGTTTTATCAATAAAAAAAATGGCGTATGGTACAAACTTAATTCACAGTGTCGAAACTGTGAAACAACGCATTGACAGAATTGATCAGCATAGCATTAAATCACTCATTAATCAAAAACTTTAAATTTTTTTGCCAGACAGCTCGTAACCAATCATGTCACAGCTTCTAAATCGAACCATATACAATGAAACAGGAATATAGCACTTATTTATTTTCCACGTTAAGTAAACATTTAAATTTTTTTATTTTTTTTCACTATGGGTGTTTAAAATTTCATTGTAATAAACTCGTACATATGTACAATTAAGTTTTATCGATAATCGCAAGATTCTCTTGAATTATCATTCGAAAGAAGGCGTTAATTGTGTAAACAGAAAACAAAGTCACAATTTTGTGTGACTTGCTTCTTTGTACCATATTAGGATTCAGGAGTATGGAATAATCATTCACCATACGTTGAGCTTCTGCGATATTAAAGCCTTAACTACAATATCCTTGCACGTGTTTCACAATTACTTCACACGACTTGTACACCTATTACAAACTTTTTTTTTTCGGTGATGCAAGAAGAAAAAAGATCGTTCCTTCAAATAATTCAACCCCACACATCGCATATAAATATTATCTAACGTGGATAGAACAAATATTTGGGTACAGAGTTGTTCTATGTCATTTTTGAAAAAAAATTTTTTTTTTTAGTACATATTTTTTTTCGCCATTTCTAGTGCCTGAAATTATTCTATTTGTTGGCTGATTAACTGTTACACTTTAATAACAAATATTCTAATTGGTACTCATTGCCCTTATTATCTTTTAACAAATTCCGCTTCGAAAAAGAAACGAAAGAATATTTTTGCGACGTATCAGACCATTTTTTAATTTTTTTCCTATCAGCTATACTAATTTCTTTATAATTTCTTTATCACGTAAAAAAGAGGCTGTATCGACTCTATTTTGTTAAAAAAAAAGAAAAAAAAAATTTCATATTCAATGCTAACATTCATCTTAACATTATTAATTCTTGGAACTTCTAATAACTTCTAATTGGATATCGGTTAAGCGATTATCGACAGGTTGATTTTGGTGAAATAATTATCTCCTGATTAATTGCCATAATCCGATACCTTTTAATTAATAATATTTTTCCGAAACCCGAAGTTTTAACAATGGCGTAAAGAATGTTATTTGGATGAAGTATATTAAATACCTGTCCTAAGAAAAGTTCATAGTCTTTTGTGTCACGTACACAAGGTCTCTCATTACAAGGTTTGTTTATACCTTCTTATGGTAAAATCCACTAATTAAAAAGAGACGCGTCAATAATTACCTACATTATATGATATATTTATATAAATGTTTGTACTGATGACGGTGCACAAATGGCGTCAAGATCAAAAGATAAAACAGAATTCTAGTATATATAAATGCAATTTTGATCCATGGTACTTAAGATTCCTCGCCAAGGAATTTTCGAACGACGGTTTTCCATTATTTAAACAACTCGATTTATCGTTATGCCTCCTTTTTCGTATTCTCCCTACTAATTTTGGGAATATGGAGGCCAATGATCAAAATACCATATGATTTATTATCTCTGTGAGCATTTTAATTTGCTTTTGTTTCTTTGATGTTTTTTTTTGTTATATAACTATAATTTTATTTGATATTTAGTATAAAAGGATTGTTGGAATAAATTATGAAATATTGTATCGATAATTCTGAATTCCATCATAAGCAAGCCACTTGATACCGAAATGCATACACACACAAGAGATAATATACTGCTAGTCGGATATTATCAATTGTCTCTCACGTGATTAAGTTTGAGGAAATTTAAAATTCGTTTTTGGCACTACGAAGAAACGGCGGGATGGCGTTAATTCGTCCAACCCATTCAAAGGCAAAATTTCTCTGTTCGATGATGAAGACAACGGTCTCTCTATTCAAAATTGTTTAGCAATTCGTTCGACCCTTTCTTTTTTTTAACCAATTAATTGTTGTAAAATCTATGCGGCAAAAAACGTGATTTTGCGATACATGACACGTGGTACTTTATTTTCATAAAAAGTGAGTTCTAATCAAACAACAAAAAAATCATAATTCATAATTTTTTTTTCTTTGCATTATCTGAATTAAATTGAAATTGCCGAATAAAGAGGAAAAAAACCCCGCGAGTTAATAAAAAAAAAAAGAAAGGGTCGAACGAATTGCTAAACAATT